ATGTCCACAAGTGCATGAAGTATGTATTTCAGCCCGTGTGTGTAAAAATAAACAAAAAAGTAAAAAGAAGAATTTCCCCAATGGTTTTGTTGCTCCTATTAGGCCGGGGCAAACCTACCCAGTTATCATCCTTATTAACACATAGATTTTGGTGACATAATGTAATTCCCAGCATACTCCCACTAAACTTACATGAGACTAGAGGTTGAAAACGCCTGAGTGGGTGTGCAGAGCCTTTAATTTGCCAAATACTGTAAGTAGTAAAATAAATGTAGTGTAGTAGTCAAAAGTACAATACTTGTACTAAAGTTGCATAACATAGACATACTTTACTTTGTATATTTGTTGTTTGTAAAGCACTTTGGATCTCTGTGTCACAAAGGTGATATATAAATAAAAAGTACAAATTGTACTTAAGTACAGCACTTATGTAAATATACTTTACTTCATATACTTTCCACCACTGACTTTGGTTACTGCAGCTAGAAACTCACAGGCCTTCCTCTCTGTTGAGGCTCAATCGGGTGTTTCTCTGTTTCTGTTGCAGCCGATGGTGTTCGGTGCCATGATCCACAGAGACGAGGCCTTCGACGCCATCAACACTCAGTACATGAAGATCAATTGCTTTGCTACAGCCACCAACCCAGAGACATAGTAACACCTTCACAAAATGGCTGCCTTTACACAAACACCGGACTTCTTCACACAGCTGCTGAACTTTAGTTTGAGTTGCTTCCATGTGATTAGGGATACTTGCTTAGTCATCAAAACTAAATGATTTTCTGACATTAAATCACTGAATACAGTAATTAACATTATCCGATTCCAACAGATCACTGACTTTATGTCAGAATCAGCCAAACCAATACTAATTACTGTTCTTAAACAGTTTTATAGAAAGTTCCCTCAAAATAGGCCAGTTTATGTCACAGTGTTAGTTTACTGTATATTCTCCAGGTAATTGCTGGTATTTAAATTATGGCTTCTCATTGACTCAGTTTACATGCACAAAATGTTACTGTTTTTGTCCCTTTTCTAAAGACAATATTCCTACAAATCTCCGTGGAGCTCAACATTTCCTGGGCAGATGCTTCACAATGAAAGTCTTCCAAGGGCACAATCTTTCCTATACTTGGCAGGCTTTTAATGTGAAACATCTACAGGGAAATTGTTAAGAAACACATGTTATTCAAGCTACAGTTGTTTAGTTCTCAGAGATAATCAGTGGTTTACGATGTAAGAAGAATGTGATAGATCAGTTTGTTCAGACTGATCGGCTGGACCAACACACTGCCACCTGCAGCATCAGTCAGCTGTGTCATGTGACTGGCTGCAGGTTGTGTCATTTCAGCTTACTACCACAGAGGTCTGTTACACTGATTATATATTACAGCGGAAAGTTTAAGACAGAATTAATCAACAACTACTTTGATAATCAATGTATCATTTAATTAACTTATTAATCAGAATCTCCCATCATTGGCTGTTACTTCTCCAGTGCTGCTTTTCTCTGTTTTATGTATCATTGTAAACTAAGTGCACTGTTAGCAGGACAAAACAAGATGTCAACTTGGATTCTGGACATTTTTAAGTTTTCTGACATTTGAGTGCGATGGATATCTGTCTGCAGTTGGTGTAGTGAATAAGTTCACTAAGAGACAAAAATATTAAAGAACAGATAAAGTATCCGGGAAGACACTTGTATCAAACAATAACAGGGCGTCTTCCTCTGTAAATTAATCAGAATCAGAATCAGAAATACTTTAATAATCCCTGTGGGGAAATTACTTACTTAGCCTCTAGCGGTAGCATCAAAAATGAAATTTGCAACCCTTGAGTCAACAATCACAGCCAAACTGAACTTTAAAGTGCGGCTGCAACCAGTGATTATTAATCAAATAATGCTGGTCTGCTGATATTTTCTCAATTAATCGATTTCTTCTAGAATACAAATAATGACAACAGTTATTTTGCTTTGCCTGGCGAACGGCTGAAACCCCCAAAAGTATTCAGTTTAGAATAATGCGAGACCGAGAAAAGCTGCACATTGTCTCTCTCATTACTGCTGCGTCCTGTCTGTCCTGGTAATGTATTAGATGGGAAAGTTTACTGCACAACCTGTCAGCGCTGAAACGATTAGCCTACCAGATTTTCTGATTATATTCCACCTACATTTGAAGGAAAAAAAATATTCTTTTGGATTTAAATCAGTTGTTTTTACAGTGTTATTGTCGGATAAACATGTTTAAACCTCATATTAATTTACATTAGTGTCTTCAGGGAAAATCGTCATTATGACTCTGTATTGTACTTAGCAGCTAAGCCTTACAGTCTGTTAATATTAGTGTGTGGTTTTTTACGTGGTGGTAAGAGACTGTACCCTATATGAATGTTCAAAAACTAGCTTCTGTGCAACATTTAATGTAAACCACAAAATTAACTTTTAGCCTTTTTTTTTGCCCGAGCTAAGAAGCTAAAGCTAACAAAACAGACACAATCTGTAATAGTCAAGTTTTGTCTAATCATAGTTTATTCACATTATGCTTTAGCTTTAAAAAGCCACACGCTAAGGTCAAATATTTGTTTAAACTGTAGCTTTTCTCCCATAGCTTGAAACTAATTGGCTTAAGGTTAACAATTGAAAACAACATAATAACCTGATATGCACGTTTTTGTCACAGCTCTGTTATCTTTCAGCTAGGCTTATAAGCTAAGAGGCTAAAAAGGCTGAAATGTTGACCTTTTTTTGTTCATCTTCTGTTTAACTTCAGCTTTTTTTCTTACCGTAGCTAACAGGCTAAAGCTAAACAAGTTTTAGTTTTTTATTTTGCACAAACCACTAATTGTTGCTCTCAAATGAATGATTAGTGCTATCACATTGCTATCAATCTAGTCTAAATGAGCTTGGATTTTAAAAGTTTTAATTTTGAGGTACGTCGATATACTTTAGATTTTACTTTGACATCCTAACATCCATAAACATGTATGCTTATTATTTGTCCTTAACAACTGAATAATGAGGACATCTCTTCTGGCAGCCAGCTAATGTGCAGTTATGTAGATTTTTAAATGTGTCTGTTCCTGCCGATCACCACCTGTCTGTAACTGTGTATTAACTACGTATTAACTATAAGTCTGATGGCTGTCACACCAGCATGTGTTACTTATATTTCACGTCAAATTCACTCCATTTTAAGGAAAATGTTATAAATCTGACCAAAATGGAGGACGCTGTCTTTTAGTGAGTAAATAATTTTCTAACCTGCACTTGAAACATCCAGCATAAAGGAAGTAGTTTATTTCCTCCTCAAGTCTCAACACATTAATCCTTCTCACTGGTGTGATTGGGTCTCTCAAAGCTTTCTTCTGCCAAATCTTTTGTCTTTTGTAGTTTTTAATTTTGTTTCATATTAAAAAAAAGTTTTAACTGTTTTAATTTTTGCAATATTGATGCCAGTTAACGCCATTTTGCCTCCTTCAGACTCTTTGCTTTATGCAGTTCTTGACTGTTTTAAACCCCCTTATCTTCCTTAGTTTGTCTGTGTGATTCCTCAGGTTTCGTTTCTTTCCTGTTTACGTTAACGCTGTGAACATTTCTCTGTCGACCTGTTGTGTCTTTTAGGATTTAATGGTTTTATAAAATGGTGTCATTGTACAAACAGGTGTAATTTTTTTAACTAAAATGATTTCTTTTGTTCAGAGGGGATGTACATTTTTTTATTCAAGTAAAAATCAAATGTAAAATACTGGCAGTCTCCTGTTGTTGTTTCTGTGCGGCCAGCGTTGGCCAGTTGGTGTCGCCACCTGGAGATTGGATTCTTGGTGGTTTCAGAAGGAAAGTTTGCCTTCTGTTTTTGTGTAAACACCAAAATATTCTGATAATACAATGAGGAGACTGACTGCATGAACCACATATTCAATATAAGCAGTAAGTTTGTATTTACAGTCATTTTTATTTAATATCGAACTTTGGTCAACCACTCATTACTTAATCGTTTTTTGATGAGTTTAAAAAATCACAAAAGTTGGAAAGTAATTTTAAACCACATCATTCCTCAGTTTAAGTTTATTATTATTAATATACATTTTTTAAATGAATTTTGGTTAGAGTCAAACATCAACAGACTTATTTACATCAGTTTTCTGCTCTTAAGTTCAACATGAGCATTAACTCTCTCAGTGAAACTGCTGACAAACATTTCTGATAACTACTGTGGATTACTGAATAGAAGTTCAGTTTGTTTCAGTCATAATGTTTTACAGTCTTCACTATCAGCAGGGAGGGTTTTATATCACAGACAGTAACCACAGATGTTTCGGTCTTTATCACCTGCTGTTTCTCTCTGTGCAATTATAGGTTTAGATGACATCAAATATTCCCATCAGCAATAAACAACCAACACAACCAGTAAATAATTAACCCAAAATACCTGTAACTCAGGTAAATTTGATATTTTCCCAGACTTTTCCTCTTTCCAGTTTCCAACCATGTTTACTGGTTGCCCTGCAAAGTAGATGCGATACAACCTGTTTTAAAATAGCTGATTCCTCCTGCTGTTACCTGATATTATATCTTTATAAGGTATATCATATATATATCATATCATATATACTGAAGCTATACTGCCTAATACACAGCTATAAATCCACCTTAGTGTCAGCTGGTGTCTTGAAGATTTTTTTGTTTTGTTTTTTGTAATCTAATAATGAAAAGTAAGTTTAAAATACATGTCTGATTTTTTTTTTTTGTTAGAATAAATCAGTGAATACACATATTTACTTTTAATCTTCCACTGACCCCCTGCAATACTAGCAATGACCACTAGGGGTCCACAAAAACGTTTCGTCTCCATTCCTCCTTTGCCACTACACTGCAGCCTCAAACTACTGTTATACATGAACATAATATCTATAATCAGGTTACTCTACATGAATTATTTACATAAAGAATAAAAGTAGCAAAAGGTTCAATTTACTCAAAATCTAAACCTTCACACACAGGGCGAGGCTTAGAAATTAAATTCAGATTCACAATTTATGTTATTTTATCTTTCCATAAGGCGTGTTCAGTCCTGGATCTGCGTCACTGGTTCTGTAATGGACTGATAAGGCTGAGTGTTACAGGACTGACTGCTGATAAATCATCATTAGATTTTATTAAGGGTGGTTCCCGCCGTGTCCTCGTCTTTCCTTTTGGCGTCTCTCACAGATCAGCGGTCAGCATTTCGTCACCATCTGAGTCCCCTTCTGGATCCTCCATCTTCACCCCGAGTCCGCTGTCCATATCTGCATCGTTAAAGATGACTTTCTGGGTTTTTGTCTGCGGGTTGTCGTCTTCGTCCTCCTCTTTGCTGCTGGATGGCTGTTGCTGGTCTTCCTCTTCGCTGTCGCTCTCTCTGCTGTCTGGAATGATGACCACTTCCTCCTTGGCATCAGGGTCGATGTCCTCCTTGAACCAGACTGACTTGTATCCCTCGTCCATGCGTCTCTCCTTGGTCAGGATAGGTTTCACCTCCTTCTCACTGTCTGCCTTGTCTGAGCCTGCCTGGCTGGTGTTGTCATTCAAGAGGGCATGCAGCGGCACTGAAGATGTCATGACAGCCTCAAAGGGCGTGAAGTTCCCTGCTGCTTTCCGTGGCTCTCCACCAGCCATTACGCTTCCCCCCTCTAAACCACCGGAGCCAGTGCTGTCTCCATCTTCATCTTTCTGGAAGGCCTCATTGGTGTACTGAATGCCCTCCTTCTGACCCCCTGAACCTTGACCCAGCTGTGGAAAGACACATTCAGGGGAAGAAGACAATTTAAAAAAGAGATTAACAGTTTAAAGCCCTGCTGGTGACCCCTAAAGGCTAATCAAACAAACTGGACTTTGGGGTCAAGTGTATTTGGATCCGGGTCCAGGTCCCAAATGTAAAAGCCTCCTAAGGAGAACTGGATACAGTGTTCAGAGATGGCGGTATGAAAGCAGGTGTGTTAAAGACTTCCGCTGAACAAGCCTGCTGACTTTTTGTTGGCTCCTTGCACACATGAAAATAGTTCATACAACTCTTCTAGACTTTCCAAATATTATTGGGCTGAATAGATAAAGTCCTTTCTGGAGGTTTGTGACTCTGAAGCTGTTTTCAAATGTAAATCGAATATTGTGCTATATGACCAGAAGTAGGACTCATTCATACCCGCAGCAAATTTCATGGAAATTCAACCGGTAGCTGTGAAAAGTGTTGGACAGACAGACAGATTCCAAAAAGCTAGATGTGGTAAAAGGTACAATAATCGTACGTCAGGGCAGAGATATGTCTGGATGGTTAGAAAAGGTTTCTACACTTAGTGTACTTGCCCTTAGTTGCCTTTAACAACCATGTGAACTTACAGAGCTTCGGAACATGCTGGTTTCGTAGATTTTTCGCCAATCTGCTTTGCCCCTCCTAATGTTAAAGATGAGCACCCCGATGACCACCAGACAAATGAACAGCAGGACACCCAGGACTGCACCGAGCACTGCCATGTCCGTCGGCCCATAGCCACCGGACGGAATGATCACTGCAAGTACAAGGTCACTAAATACAGGTATCATCAAAAAACAGCTAACTAACTAGGAGTTGAATCTAAAGAGTAACACATGAAGGATTCTGACTGGATAGATATACTAGATAACCATATTTACTCATGATCAATGTCCCTCTTAAAGTGATTGAGTTTTTTCCCAGCAGAATGGCTGAAAATAGGTTCTGGAATGAATACTAAACCTTCTAAAGAAAGAGGATTAGACTCATGGTCTTATGGGCAAAGACTTCTTGGTGTGATGAATTCTTTATGTGATTGTGAATTTTACGCTCAATGGCAGTTTAGTTTAATACAAACAGTCTAGAAGGTAACCAAAATCATACTAACAGATTTACGAAGTTTAGATTTTATGCGGTGAGTCGCCCAGTGGCTAAATTAGACACTATGTGTAGTTTAAGGTAGGTCTATTTAAGTTTGGTAGCCCCTTCTCATACATGACTGCTGTCACTGTAGGACAAAGCAGTGCTCTGTGGTTGGTTGCTTTGATTGTCAAAGACAATTTTTTTTTTTTAATCAAAGTAGGCCGCACTTGAACACACTATGATCACTAATATTACAAGAACTCGGTTGCCCCCTCACAATTCAAGAAAGATTTACTTAGGTAATATAAAATATTTAATATGACTGAAGCTACTGAGAGAAAACCACCTGTGTGAGCATGAGTTGTACTGACACTTCCTTCACTGGTCAGACTGGGATAAGTGGTTGAAACAATGCCTTCAGTAGACATACTGGAGATGGTAGTTGAGACGCTGGGGTCAGTGGGCGTACTGGGGTTGATGGTGGACACCGTATCGTCGGTGGTCTTGCTGTTGGTGGTGGATTCCCCTATGGTTGTCGTGTTCATACTGTCTGTAGTGCTCAGAGGCACACCGGTGGTGGTGAGACCTGGGAGGAG